AGAATTGGGGTTGGCTTGGGCCTTGCCAAACTCTGATCCAGCAGTGAGCTTGCAATTTTATAAAGCCAAAGGAAGACACAAAGAATAAACAGCACYGGCTTGGAAACAGGAGGTGGGTAGAGATGTTACAGCTTCAGTAGCTGTTGTTGTTGTGTGTAGTCAGTCTGTACCCCCCCCCCCCCCCACTACGTAAACCTCTGTAAGCTTTGTAAGCAGTGTTGACACCTTCGTCCAAAATCGTACCTAAAAGGTTTTGCWGTTGAAGCTGAGACTGAGCTAAATGCTACCTAAAGGCTAAAAGTATCAAAAACACTAGCTTAAAGTAGCTAATTGTTCGCTTAAAGTCAAAAAACACTATGTAAAAGTAACACAATTCTAAGAAAAAGTAGTGAAAATATAGTAAAAAAAAATTGTTGCAAGCTAAAATCAAAAAGTAGTGAAATACATAATAAAAGTTGCAAAAGGCTAACTACATTTAGCAAAATGTAGACTTTTGAATATTAGCAGTAGTAAAACTTTAACACCCCTTAAATGTGACCAGCCCCTCCACTGCTTAGGAAGCTTAAGACATTTACAGAGGGGAAAAAAAAGTTACGGACGGACTGAGACCRGAGACTGAAAACATGACACTGAATCTGTAACATTAATACAAACATCTGTATCCATATTGGTTCGATTTCTTCTTTGTGTCTTCCGCTGGCTTCAAAACATATTTGCTGTCACCCACTCCGCTGCTTAAAAGTTTTAAGGAAAATTATTAAATTTACGTAGAGTTAACAAAAAACAACGGACCTAAGGTTGGCAGGGCGTTCTGAGGCATCATCAGCTGATAGAGGGYGGCCTTCTAGCTAAATGCCTGATTCTCAATGTATTTTAATATTAAAAATTTGAAAATAAAGATAAATACTTTATAGTGTGTATAAGTGTAAATGTTGCAAAAACAAAAGKCCATAGCACCCATCTCCTGAATGAGCCAAATGTTTCAATATACAAACAGCTGAAATAGTGTGATGCATGCAGAAGTTAATAGACGTCAAAAATGTACGGAAGTATAAAATAACTGTAAATACAGAATCATC